ATTTCCATAAAAAACGAAGTCAAACGGACACCAAACTTTCAACATTTTCCATGGAAAATTATACAAATCAAACACAATTAATTACAATTCCTAATAAAATAATTTCTAGGCAAATTAATTTCCTGTAAAACATTTTCTTTCCACCCATTTTCCACATTTGCAATCAAACGGATTCTAAGTTCTCTCTTATTGTAGAATTTTATCCTTGTTTCAAGTCATTTGGCTACATAAGATTCTTTGGTTATTTTGTTTGCTTTTCTACTTTATTTTTAAATAACATCAAATCATATTTCAATCGGTTTCATATTAGTATGTTCAACGGTCTCCTCATGAGGTCAGTGAATCCTCGGCCAACAAATTACCTATACATGGATGTAATCCCAATACAATTAGCAGCTAGCTCTTTCATTTAGATTACCTGAATTTTTATTGTTTTTTTCAAGAGTAATGCTATGTGTACACCCAATGGTGTACACAATGCATTACACCCCCCTCACATAGAGGGGGGTCCACACATATTTTATTGTGTGCGGACCTCCCCCCATGTGAGGGGGGTGTACACTATTGTGTACACATAGCACAACCCTTTTTTTCAATGATGAAAGTATTATCTCTCAAGTTATAACGATGCAAGCAACACTAGCTAATAAGTAATCGAAATTGACACCATGGGTTTTCTTTCGTCTATATGATCAAATCAAATGCAAAAATAATAATAACATACTTCAAATATGATGGTAAATCGAAAATCTAGCTTTAAAATCGAAGGCAAAAAAATGGTTTTCTTACTTTCTCCATATTTCGCATAGGCAAGAGAATTTTCCCACTCTAGCCTATGGATATGTAGAAGAGAACACTATATTTACAATATTATGTTTAAGGGATAAATTCTACATCGAAAAATAATAAAATAAAACAACCAAAATATAAGGATTTGTATTATTTCTCTTTACAAAATTGAGCTTTTAAAAATAGAACACAATTTAAGATGATATCGGAGTTCATTAAATTTCAGCAAGCAATTTAACTTGAATAAGACTAAAAAATGAGCACTCGAGATTTTAAAATTAATCTGCTCAAATGAGTCATCATTTTACAAGGACATGTTAAGAAATAAATCTCGCACTAAAAAATTATAAAACAAATAATGAATAGATAAGGGTTTTAATTAATCATTTTAACAAAGTTGACTTTTTAAAATAGAACACGAATTTTTAATAAGACATCCCTAATTTAACTACTATTTTCGTGAAACTGATACAACATAAGTGTGCAACACAATACGATTTCAAACAGAAGCCCAAGCTTATGAAATTTTTGATCATGTACCAATTGAATGGAAATAAGATGGATTTTATACAAATCCTTGATTTGAGATTAAATAAAAATAATTCATAATCATCCGGTTATGATCAATCGAAATCGGCCCATCAGGTATATGATGTTGAAGCTTCATGAAACTTTAAGAGTTGAAAACCTAAATTTTTTTATTGTCAAGATCCTCCATATTAAATCACCAAGAAAATTAATAATGTTGAACATGCCTTCATTTTTTGGGAATGATTTTTTATTACTGGATCTTGATTCCGGATCGTGAATCTTAAAACTTGAACAACAATCTTTTCATGTTTGAGTTCTTCACTTTAATCTTGAATTTTGTCTCATTTGATTCTTTAATTCTTGTTCTTGATTTTGCTTCTTGATTCATAGTTTTAATTATTTAATTCCTTCTACATGATTGTTGATCTTGATTGTGGGTTTTGGATCTTTCTTTTCAATATGTTTTCTCTTGTATTCTTGTATTGATGGGATGACACAAAGAATGAAAAAAATTGCATATGAATTGAGGACCATAATTCTATATATAGGTTCCATATGTACTTGGTCAATCGTCAAATACGACCTTAATGGATTTGATCTCTACACATATAATTCGGCTCACACTTCATTTAGAATCTTAGATGCCATAAATCCAAGAATTTAATTTTTTATTAGATCACTTTAATTAGACTGAATTTTAAGATAACCTTATACACAATTAATTACATATGTTTGCCCATGTAAAAAATTAATAAATTCAACAACCTCCCACTTAAGCCACAGATGTTACCCGATAAATATGTATAACCTTATGAAGTCAAAACTTTTGCTATCATAACCAACAGTATCTCCAAATAATATCATCCATTGATTATATTAGTATAGGATCAAAGTGATCTTTATTACAAATATCATAACTAAACTCTCAAGGTCACGTATATCAACATAATCAAATGATATAGATCAAGTGTAGATATGTAGTAAATAAATTACATCCAATGTGATTTAAACATGCATATTTCCAATTGGTCCTACTTTATTCTCTAATAAGATCAATCATAAACTTTAATCAGAGTGAAACTGAACTGGATACTGTATTTCTGAAATTAACAAAATATTCATGAATAAAAAAATATATGTCTAAAACAGACAACATCCGAATACAAATTCTCACTAATCTGACATATCATCAAAAGATGCAACACTTATATGAGTAGTATGCTCATGAAAGATTTTGGGTGATAGCTCCTTAGAAATCGGATCTGTAATTATAAAGTTTGTCCTAATATATTTCATCGTCCCCACAGATGAATCTTTCAGCATTAATTTGCTTTAGGTTGTTCAAGCAACCCCGTGTAGACACGATTATTTAAATAGTGACACCGAAATTTATCATTAACCTTTTTAGGTCTTTGCTGTTTATTTTGAATTAAATTGGATGCAACTTTCTTGTTCTTTATAACTTGTCTTTAGAGATACTTGCCAAGTAAGTACTATCAGTTTTATCTTATTTTAGCTTTTCTTGTTGCACACAATATGAAATGACCTCATCAAGATTTCACTTCCCCTTTTAACAGTTGTAATTTTCTTCAAATTAGTCGAACTGTGCAAGAATATAAATCAAAACTAAGCAAGTCATCAAGTTGCTCAAGCTTTAATACCTTTAATTTTGAAACAAGATGAGACATATACATGATAAACTCCCTTATGATTTTGTTAGCCTTGTACTTTAGTAAAACTAAGTTCGCTAAAAGCGTGCCTATTTCGGTTTTATTACCTTTTGCGAAGCATTTTTCAATTTCGTCAAGAAACTCATTGGTAATAGTTACCTTAGCTCCCATAAATGTTACTGAAATTTCACACTTCATGATCATAAGACTCATGCAGTTTAAATGATCCCACTTATTCGAGTCTCATTTTTAATTAGCGGAACTCTTATCCGTAAAAGTAGTGGATTGTTCAGTTATTATACGAGATTTGAATTGATGTTGACGGATATTGCAGAAGTTGATTGATTAACTGAATAGAGAACTTAAACATAATTAAAATATTCACATAAGAATCCATATTAGACAATCGATAATTTCAAATAATGGTGTGCTCCATCACAAGAGACCAAGTACAACATTGATATTTAGTTTTTAGACAGAAATATTAACTTGTAAATTGTACTCTTAGCGTAGTAATCAAATATTGCCAACAAGTCCGATCAAACATCAAATCTATCTTTAAAACGGCTCAATGTTCACATAATGAAAAACTTTATAATTGTCACATATATAATATCTTAGATGTGCAAATAATTTGGCCAAATTTTGACTTTCCTTTCAGCTAGTGAATATCCGTATGAATTACGTACACACAACTTTTCTAATATTCCAAATAATTAATTTAGGAAAGAGAGGTTACTTTGGTGACATGTTGCTTTAACTAATCTATTTTAAAAAATTAGTAATCTGAAATAAATTTTAATACCAAAATTTGATTTTGATTGCCACCTTATATTTTATTTTTATTTTTCTCTTTTGTGGCAAAAAATAAATAAATTATATGGATAGAAACAGGGCACCACAGCGATCGGTGCTTGGCCCAGCAACGCCTGGGCGCTGCCTGACTTGACAAAATGCAGCGTCAGGGCGTCCTAACATCGCGCCACAGCGCTGGATGCTGTAGCAATATCGGAAAAATCCTAAAAAAAATTCAAAATTTTAATATCTAGGGTTTGAAAATCACATCCCAAAATTTTGTAAAACCAAAATATGAATTTCAACCCTAAAATCTTCCTTTAATCTTAATAGTTTAATATGAAGTTGGTTTTGATACCACTTATTAAAACTTTATGAAACCTTAGAATTTGAAAACCTAAATTTGTTTATCGCCAAGATCCTCAATGTCAGATCACCAAGAAAATTAATAATGCGGAACATACTTTAATTCTTTAGGAATGATTCTTTATTGTTGGAATCTTAAATCTTGAACTGCTATCTTTTCATGTTTGAGTTCTTCACTTTTAATCTTGAATTTTGCCTCATTTAATTTTTTGATTCTTGTTCTTGATTTTGCTTCTTAATTCATAATCTTCAATATTGAATTCCTTCTTCTTGATTCTTAATTGTTGATCTTGATTGTGAATTTTGAATATTTCTCTTCAACATATTTTCTCTTGCATTCTTGTGTTGATGGATGACACAAAAAATGAGAAAATTACATAAGAATTGGGGACCATAATTCTATATATAGTTTACATATGTATTTGACCCATTGTCAAATACAATCATAATGGATCCGGTCTCTATATATATAATTCGGGAGAAATTACCAAAAATCAGGTGTTTAAAAATTAGTTTTTAAAAATCAGGTCTACAATTTTTTTAATCAAAAATCAGGTATTATAAAACCTAATTGAAACCCTAATTTATCACTCTACCTCCTCCACTCCCTTCCTCTCTCTCTCTCTCACACCTCGCCTCGCCTCACCTTCTCTCCCCCTCCACCGCCACCGCCACCGCCAACAACAACCACCACCATCTCCCTAAAACAATCACCCACAAAAAATTACGTACACACTAGAAACCTGCACAGCGACGATGTCACTACCACCACCACAATCGCCATCTCTACCACCGAATCTGAAATATTATCGAACCCAAATTCAGACCCTGCACCGAAGTTGAACTCTGGCCGACTTTTAGATTAGGTTAGGCTGGTTAGGAGTTTGAAATGGGTTGCTGATGTTGGGATTGTATCATCGTGGATTTCGCTTCGCCGTTTTCCTTGACTCTAATTGTGTCGCCAAACACTATAAGCAACACCATAACAATCCCTCCCCTCATCCCTCCCTCCCCGCCCTCTCTGTGAATGGCGTGACATCGATGACACCGCGTCATTGCCACTACGAAAGCAGACCGGAGGCATAGCTGATGAGCTTGAAGCGATCTGTACCGGTGCCTCTGTACGCAATTTCCAACTACAACGACGATTTGCAATTGATCTTTGTTAGGGTGGTAGATATATAGGTGTGTGTGTGTGCAGTGGCGTCGCGACAGGTGGGGGTGTGGTGACGGTGACAGTTTTTGGGATTTTTTGTTGGGTGGTGGTAGTGCAATAGTGGTGGTGGTTGGTGGTGGTGGCGACTAGAGATTCGATAGAGGTGGCAGTTGTGGTTTTTGTTGACAGTTGACTGGATTTGATAGCTACGATTTGGTGGTGGTGATGTGGTGTTGGTTTTGGTGGTGGTGGCGACAGTGACAGGGATGGTGGTGGATCTCACGGCTGGGAAGACGGGTGAAGGTGGTGACGGTAATGTTGATGACGGTAGTGTGTGACCACTTGACCAATTACTTAGTTACGTGTGAGTTGTGACCAAGATTTAACTGTAACTTTAAAATTTGATAGCCTGTAACTTGAAAAGTAATTTGTGACAAACAAATGTTGAAATCTGTGGCCAATAGATAAATCCTGATCTGTAATTTTTTTGATTTGTGACCAATAAAATAAATTGTGATCAATAAATTTTTAATATGTGACTTCGAAATAATCTGTGACTTATAAAAAATTTGATAATATGTGACAAGTAAATAAATTGTGATCTATAATTATGTATATGTTACCATTATTATATTTAATTAATAAATATGTTTAATTAATAATATAAATACTTGAATTTTGAATTTTCAAACTATAAACCTGATTTGTGAATTGGTGTGAATTATACACCTGATTTATGATTTTTTCTCCCTTCGAATTTTGTTGCCTTCTCTTTACTGGGCTTGTAGCCCCCGTTTGATATCCATTATTATCTCATTAAAATGAAAAATATTACCGTTATTCATCACATTAACATTTAAATTCAAATTTTCTATCACTTGTGTGGTCCCAAATAACAGCTATATTTTTCATTCTCATTCTTTAATAATTTGACTCAAACAGGTCCATAATCATTTTTAAATAGCTTCACGCTGAAAAAATGAAGGGTAAAGCTCTGTTTGTTTTTAATTAAAATATGATTTTAATCTCAAATCAAAATAAGTAATTAATTTTAACCATATATTTAATGGAGTAGTCAACTTCTCAATCACACATTTCATCAAGTTTTATCAAAAATTACTAAAAATCTAATTTTAATCTACAACAAACCGGGGCAAAATCAAAATGAACATTGCTATTTATTATTATGATGATATAATATCAGTGATGTAACAATCTATGTGAAATAATGAGATTGAATAGTTCAATTTTTATGAAATAGATATAAATATGAAGGATAATGAGTTGTTACATCACCGATATTCTATCATCATCATGATAAATAACATTACTCAATCAAAATCGCCCTACTTTTATCTAAAAAGCTTAGCATCCATTTGGTAGATATTAAAATCTAAATTTTAATTTAAAGTCAATAATAAATTTAATTACATATTTAAATAATTTTTCAACCACATATTACGTCAACTTTTATTAGAATCTATTAAAATTCTTATTTTAATTCCTATCAAACGGCATTTTTTTTTCAAAAATACCTCTGTTTTATTAAAATTGATATTCTACATTTACATCCTTCTATAATTTTAAATATACCTCCTTTTTATTTAAAATAAATACGTTAACTTTCATTAAAAATCGATATGTTTTACTGATTAAACATTAGGTCAACATATATGCCATTGTATTACTTGTGGATTATTGTTTAAAAAAATTCAGCGTTTTACTAAAAATCAATATTTTAGGGTAATATAAATGTTAACATATTGTAGGCTCCATCTCGAGAACAAATTTATAAATAGTTTATAAATTAAGTCATGGTCCAATCTCACATTTATAACTATTATCCATAAATATCGTTAGACCTTTTACTATTTCACTTTATAAACCTTTTATAAATTTGCCGAACAAATGCTTACTTTTTTATTAAAAATCAATATTTTATATGGGTAACTTCTTGTGAACATAATGAACACCATTTTACTATCAATATGTTATGAACATGAGTAATATATCATGGTGCTTCGTATAAAACAATTTCACACAATCACACCACTATCTTCCAACACTATCACTACAAAAAAGAAGTAACACATTATGTAATTGTCTAACACCACTGTTTGACACCTCCACCCCCACAAAACATGAGTAACATACCGTCTACCAACATCATTTATAATTTTGTTACGAACACGTGTAATATATTATGGTACTTCGTATAAAACAACTTCACACAACTACCACCCAACACCATCATCACAAAATAAGAGTAACACATAATGTAATCATATAACACCACTCCACGACAGTGTTTTCTACCTCCACCATCACGAAACATAAGTAACATACTGCCTGCCAACACCACCACTATAAAACATGAATATCTCATTATGTTACTTGTCTAAAATCACTTGACACCACTGTTCACGAAAATATGTTTCGAATAAAACCACCGCAAATGTACGATTCATTAACAAGTAATAAAGTGGAAATCCTATAATTTCGAGTATCGTTCCCACGAAATTAATTTGGAAATTTGTGACTGTGTGACCTATAAATTTTGATGTGTGACCAACTAATTTTGAAATCTGTGACCAACGAATTAATTGTGACCTATAAAATTTTTGAATTGTGACCGTAAATTGTAAATCTGTAACCAGAATGGTCATCGGAATAGTCGCCGGAATAATTGCCGGAATCGGAGCAATCGCCGAAACGGTCACCGAAGAAGAGTAATGGTTGAAATGGTTGCCGGAATCGTTCCCGGAGCAGTATGGGTGGTGCATGTGAGATGGGTTAATTATATTATATCAGAATTAAATATTTAATAATAAATTGATTTAATAATTTATTATTTCATAAATACAAAATAAAAAAGAACTTGATTTTTGAATTTTCAAACTATAAACCTGATTTTTGAATTGGTATAAAGAATACATCTTATTTATGAATTTTTCCCATAATTCGGCCAACACTTTATTTAGATGCCTTAAGTTAATTCTTTATTAAATCACTTTAATTGGGCTCAATTTTAAGATAGTCTTATACGCAATTAATTACATATGTAGGCAAACCCACATGACATATTAATAAATCCAACAATCTCCCACTTGAACCACATATATTACCTAATAAATGTGTATAACATCGTGACGTCAAAACTTCTACTATCATAACCAAACCAAAATTATCTCCGAACAATTTTGTCAGTTGATTATATCAACATAGTATCAAAACGATTTTCGTTACAAATATCATAACTAAACTCCCAATGGTCACATATATCAATACAATCAAATGATACACATCAAGTGTGGATGTCGAACAAAACTACAAGATCTTTTTGTAAACCATCCCACTTTGTTTCCATCATTATATTCGTTAAAAAATTTCTATATTTCACAATGCAAGCTTAAAGATCATTTATTAAGACCGGTTCTTTTCAAATCGTTTCCTATACAATTTTTACTGGGTTTGTTGTGACTGTAAAGCTGTGGGCTAAATCTAAGCCCATGTTTGGTAAGTTGGTAACTATTCTTTTAAAACTTTTTTTTTCTCGTATTCATTTTCAACCATATATCCTCACAATAAAAAATATTCTTCACATAAATTTAAATTTTTTCCCTATATTTTAATCGCACGTTCTCAAAAATTTTTTTTTACCTATTCTTCCCAAAAAATGAATTTCAAATAGGGGCTGAGTATGCTATGTGTTTTAATTTAGGACCACATATTTAAATTGGGTTATTTGTTCAATCTACGTAGTTGGTTTGATGGCAAATAATTTTGGGAATCTTGCAGTTGAGGTTATAAATATTTCAAAAATATATTATCAAGTCCTAAACATTATAATTATCACCCACATCCCCAAATCTTTTAATAAATGTGAGTTTGAAGGACCTTTAGTCGATTTCTGTCCAAATGACCATTAATTAACCAAAAGTCAAGCGGTTTAGAAATTTTAAAAATGGCAAAATTATACCTCTACATTTTTCACCTAAAA